AAAATGTAGCACCTTTCAATTTGTCCACAAGAAAGTACTGACATCATGAAAGGTGGAAGTCTATTAGATGGATTTCAAAATGAATCTGAATATGATCAGTGAATAGGATTGAAAAATGAGTATCATGATTTAGTGAGTTCAGCTCATTTCTTCCTAAGACATGAGGCATCTTTTCCGGTTATGATAACCATTAAAACCAAAACTAAGTATCAAAATATAAAATACTTACACTCATACCTTTGTATTTCCATATTGCAAGTTGCTCAAGCAAAATAAAAAAATAAAATATTCAATCATATTGCTTTCACCAAAAATAAGATTAATGATAATATGAACATCTTTCTCTACCTTTTTAAAGTAATATAAAATACACTAAAATTTGTTTCATTCTTATTTTTCCACTTTTATGTACATTAATAACATAATAAATTAGTGAAGTAGTACGTACACTTGTAATTTTAGAATAAAGGCACAAAAGTTACAGGAAATGCATGTTCAACAAAGTTTAGAGGTTACCACTTTAGGCATCAGGAAGCAGGTGAAAGATTTTAAGCCAAAGGAGTAAAAACAAAAGAATAAGATTTGAATTTTAGAAAAATAATTCCAGAGGATAATGGACAGGTAAAAAGCTCCTGGAAATTAAAGTGTTTTTTTTTAAAAACCCCTGTTACTGACATAAAGAAGAGACTTTTGGACTCAGTGGGAGAAGGCAAGGGTGGGATGATTTCAGAGAATAGCACTGAAACATGTATATTGCCATATGTAAAACAGATGACCATTGCAAGTTCGATGCATGAAGCAGGGCACCCAAGCTGGTGCTCCGGGACAATTCAGAGGGATACGGTAGGAAGGGAGGTGGGAGGGGAGTTCAGATGGGGGGACACATGTATACCTGTAACAATTCATGTTGATGTATGGCAAAAACCATCACAATACTGTTAAGTAATTATCCTCCAATTAAAATAAATAAAAATTTTAAAAAAGATAGTGATAGGCAAAAATGATATTTACAAAAGTGAAAAAAAAAAATCCCTGTTACTACACTAACAGCAGAGAGCATCCCACAGGCTCCCTGAATCTTTGGATCCTTTTGCAGGACACATAGGTATATTTTTTTTTTTTTTTTTTTTTAAATTTTTATTAGTTGGAGGCTAATTACTTTACATCATTACAGTAGTTTTTGTTATACATTGATATGAATTAGCCATGGATTTACATGTATTCCCCATCCCAGTCCCCCCTCCCACCTCCCTCTCCACCCAATCCCTCTGGGTCTTCCCAGTGCACCAGGCCCGAGCACTTGTCTCATGTACCCAACCTGAGCTGGTTATCCGTTTCACCCTAGATAATACACATGTTTCAATGCTGTTCTCCTGAAACATCCCACCCTTGCCTTCTCCCAGAGTCCACAAGTCTGTTCCATACATCTGAGTCTCTTTTTCTGTTTTGCATATAGGGTTATCGTTACCATCTTTCTAAAGTCCATATATATGTGTTAGTATACTGTAATGGTCTTTATCTTTCTGGCTTACTTCGCTCTGTATAATGGGCTCCAGTTTCATCCATCTCATTAGAACTGATTCAAATGAATTCTTTTTAATGGCTGAGTAATATTCCATGGTGTATATGTACCACAGCTTCCTCATCCATTCGTCTGCTGATGGGCATCTAGGTTGCTTCCATGTCCTGGCTATTATAAACAGTGCTGCGATGAACATTGGGGTGCACGTGTCTCTTTCAGATCTGGTTTCCTCGGTGTGTATGCCCAGAAGTGGGATTGCTGGGTCATATGGCAGTTCTATTTCCAGTTTTTTAAGAAATCTCCACACTGTTCTCCATAGTGGCTGTACTAGTTTGCATTCCCACCAACAGTGTAAGAGGGTTCCCTTTTCTCCACACCCTCTCCAGCATTTATTGCTTGTAGACTTTTGGATAGCAGCCATCCTGACTGGCGTGTAATGGTACCTCATTGTGGTTTTGATTTGCATTTCTCTGATAATGAGTGATGTTGAGCATCTTTTCATGTGTTTGTTAGCCATCTGTATGTCTTCCTTGGAGAAATGTCTGTTTAGTTCTTTGGCCCATTTTTTGATTGGGTCATTTATTTTTCTGGAGTTGAGCTGGAGGAGTTGCTTGTATATTTTTGAGATTAATCCTTTGTCTGTTGCTTCGTTTGCTATTATTTTCTCCCAATCTGAGGGCTGTCTTTTCACCTTGCTTATAGTTTCCTTTGTTGTGCAAAAGCTTTTAAGTTTCATTAGGTCCCATTTGTTTATTTTTGCTTTTATTTCTAAAATTCTGGGATGTGGGTCATAGAGGATCCTGCTGTGATTTATGTCGGAGAGTGTTTTGCCTATGTTCTCCTCTAGGAGTTTTATAGTTTCTGGTCTTACATTTAGATCTTTAATCCATTTTGAGTTTATTTTTGTGTATGGTGTTAGAAAGTGTTCTAGTTTCATTCTTTTACAGGTGGTTGACCAGTTTTCCCAGCACCACTTGTTAAAGAGGTTATCTTTTTTCCATTGTATATCCTTGCCTCCTTTGTCGAAGATAAGGTGACCATAGGTTCGTGGACTTATCTCTGGGACATAGGTATATTTTAACAGAAGCCTTCTGCAGAGCAAGACCTCCTAGTCTGTGGTCTAACTCAGAAGGTAACAGGGGCCAAAGAAAAAGGCAATGTGGGGCCATGAGAGGGGAATTGAGCAATACTGGCTGCGGGAATTATTGGCATGCCTTATTATTTACCTGCACGCTAGGAGTCAGGCTTGGAAAGATTGAGCACGTCTCTCTTCTGATATTTCCATTCATGATTTTAAAAAGTTATAAAGGTTATTTGTTTGAATAACTTGAATAATAGAGCAATTTATAAAATAAAAAGTAAAATACTGCCTCCATACCTCCTACCACTTCACTGAGTCCATGCACAATAATCACGGTCAGCAGTTTAATGTGTTTCCTTCCAGAACTTTTTTTAAAAATATATATATACTTTTATGTATACATGTATATGCATGTGAATGTATATATACATTTATATTATTTGACTATAAAAAACTAGGCTCATATTCTTACTGTTCTGAAACTTGCTTCTTTCACTTTGCAATATATGATGGCCATTCTTTTAGGAAAGTCCACATGGGTCTAGCTTCTTTTTTACAGTGGCGGGGAATGCTAGCTTACTGATATGACATAGGTTATGTAACCATTCCTTTACTAGTGGACATCAGCAGTGTCACTTTTACAATAAGGCAGCAACAAACATTCATGTACATGTACCCTAATATACTTCCTTGAGCAGCATGAATTCCGAGAAATAGTTTTTAGGTGAAAGGGTAGGTACATTTAAAATGTCGATAGCTACAGAGGAATAGCTCTACTAACTTACACTTCAAACAACAAAATTCAGTCATCCATCCTATCTTTTTCTTATTAATTTTTTAATAGATTCCTAGATTTAGGAAAAGATCTCAGAAAACAAGTCCCTCCATTTATATATGAGAATATGAAGTTTCAGAGAGAGTAATAAGATTATGGCCTCAGGATCCCAAAATCCTTGACAAGATAACTGACCAGAAGCAGTTCTATGAACAACAGTTACTGCTGAAAGCCAAGAAAGCAACTTGAGTTAGCTGACTTCAAATATAATGTGTGTTCCATTTGAGTCACTAACAAGTAGGAAAGGGAACCATCAACTCCTTTTCCTTGCCTACCCTTGGCAAGAAAAGAAAAGAAAAAAAAATAAATAAATAAAATAGAAGTAAATTCCTAAAAGATACAAAAGCAAGAGGGACCCGTAAAGGAGGATTCTCTAACTAAGTGGAGTAATGGGCACCACAAGCTTGAGGTATCGTTAAGTTCAGCTGCATGAAGTAAGCAAGTGTGGTGGTGGAAAAGACTCTGACATGGGATGACCTTAGCAAAAAACCTTCCACGGCCTCAGTGGGTTGTATGAAAAGTTTCTTGGTTCTGAATATCTCCATGTGGCATCCAAAATGAATGCCAGCACTGAAACCAAATTCTGAAGAGAAATATCAGAAAAGAACTAACATCCCACAATGAAGAAACATCTTCAAAGAAGATGTTGTTAAAAAAAATACCACAAAAGTACTTTCCAACAAATTCCAGACCTAAAAGTAAAGCTTTAAAATGAAGCTCCAAGCACAGAAGTCTTGAATCCTGTGCCTGAAGAGGCCCATTTAAACGAGGGCACTTCTAACCAGATAACACTGTCTTTACTGGACCAGACCTATGGGGCATAGCAATGAGAAAAGAAGGTGGCAACTGTACCTGTTGAAATTAGAATGGTCTAGAAGAAGAGTCAGCACACATTTTCAATAAAGGGCTAGACAGCAAATATCTTAGGCTTTGCAGGCCATATGGCCTCTGCTGCAAATATTCAGCCCTGCTATTGTATTGCAAAAAAAACAGCCAAAGATAATATATAATCAAATAAGCACAGCTAAGTTTCAGCACAACTTTATGAATGCTGAAATTTGAATTTTATATAATTTTCATAAAAAATTGTTTCAATTTTTTTTCAACCATGAAAAAATATAAAAGCCATTCTAAGCTCACAAGTGCATGCAAGTATGCTCAGTCATGTCTGACTCTTTGCGACTCCATGGGCTGTAGCTTACCAGGATCCTCTGTCCGTGGAATTTTCCAGGAGAGAATACTGGAGTGGGTTGCCATATCCTTCTCTAGGGGGTCTTCCCGACCCAGGGATGGAACCCACGTCTCTGGTGTCTCCTGCATTAGCAGATGGATTGCTTACCACTGAGCCACCTAGGAAGCCTTCTTAGCTCACAGGCTGTGAGTAAACAGGCAATAGGCTAGGTTTAGCTCACAAGGCATCACTGGCCAACCTCTGGTACAGAGCACTTGAGTTTCAACTGTACGGAACTTGAGTGTTGGTGGAAAGATGGCAACATCTGAGGCAAGTCAGAAGACAGAAAGGTAGAAAATGTGTCATTCTTTAAAGGGTCTCAGATATTTACCTTAAATCTCTTCTCTTGCTGAATTCCTCTGGTGGAATTGTCCAAGGCAGGCCTTGAGGGAGACATGCTAAAACTTCTGAAGAGAAATCAGAGAAATCCACACCATACTCTGTAAGTATCCCTTCTGTTTCAGGCTCAATTTCACCAGCCTGCCCAAGACTCTTCGCCAGCTGCCTGTGGATGGGATGGACAGGAAAGACTGTGTTAGTAATGGAACGTGGGCAACCTGTCTCCTCTCTTAAGTTAAGGCTGTCTTTCAAACTCTCCTGCCCCTCCCTCAGCAGGAACACCATCACCAGTGAATGAACAGGGGCCAAGCTGAAGAGCTTAAGATACTCTTGTCTTATTAACACGGTGATTACAGTGTACTTCTACCTTTCCTCAGGAATGCTGACCCACAGAGAAGGGCCAGACAGTCCTTTGTGGGACTCCTATAGTTGTTTTTCACAGAAAAGTGAAAGCTTTTTGTCAATTACTTCTCTTGTAAACACCTTTAGAGACAATTCTGATCAACCCAGTTTGCTGTTAAATCACTAGTTTCACACTTCCTATACCTTACGTCATGCTTACTAGATCAGATCTGATGTTTTAGTTTATTTCACAATTCTACTAATTTTTGCCTTAATGTTTTAAGACATTTTGTCCGAACACAAAAGCTATATATATTCACTTTAGAGAAGTTATTAATAGAAAAGATAGAAATATACCAAGAAGAAAACTGAAATTATCTTTAATCCAGTCACCCAGCAAATGATCATTCACATTTTAGGGTCCTGGTACATTAAAAATAAGACTGTATTGAACAGGACAGTCCTGTCACTATGAGTAGGGTTCCATCTTTTAGAGAGCTGATCTTACTCTTTATCTGTGGGTCACCTACACATACATCAAAACTGATAACTCCCCATTCTTTTACCTCCCCATGTATATGGCATGCCACATACACCCAAGTCTAAAGTTAAGTGATGAATGCTGATAGTCAATAGAAAATACGACATGAGTCTTAAATCAGCTGCCTTTGTTGAGAGTGTTAAGGAGACCAGAGTTGGCTACCTCCTCCACTGCACAGGTCTACTCATCCACCAGGGTGATCCAGGAATCTACCTTCAGTTAAGTCCTGCAAGGAGTTTAGCTCTGGCATTAGGGCCTTCTCTGGGGCCATTTGATTTCTTTGAAGATTCTGTTTCCTTATATAAGGGTAGATGCCTGGCTACTAGAGTTCATAGGTGCACAGCGGTATAGGAGGACTGGGGATGTGGTTGCCTTATATGCAGACTTTTAACAAATTTTCAGCCTCAATACTGGAACACGGCAGTGGTGGTAGATTGGCTGGCCCCACTTCTCACATGCCAGCCAAGAGACAGCAGCCACTGCTGACGCATACACCTGCCCACCAGCAGAGGCTGAGGTGGCCTGTGGGCACGTCACATACAACGGTGGCTCAGACCAGTACTTTTTTCTCAAAGGTAGGTGGTGATTTCCCACAAATCACATCAAAAAGCCAAAGACAACAAAAATACATGGGAAAACAATGAAAGAAAGCTATCTGGTAGATCCACAAATATATGAAAATTAAACAACCCATGGGTTAAGGAAGAAATAAAAAGAGAATCAGAGAATATTTTGAACTGAATGAAATACACTATATCAAGTGAGATACAGCTAAAGCAGTGCTTTGAGGAAAATTTACAGCATTAAATGCTCATATTAGGAAAGAAGAAATGTGTCAGTGAACTAAACTTTTGTCTTAAAAAACTGAAAAAAGAAAAGCAAATTAGATCCCAGGTAAGCAGAAGGAAGGAAATAATAAAGAAATAAAAATCAATGAGTAGAAAATTAATAAACAATAAAGAAAACCAATAAAATCAAAAGCTGATTCTTTGAAAAGAAAAGAAAATAGGTAAGTTTCTGGTGAGGCTGATCAAGAAAATAAGGAATAAGTTACCAATGTCAGGAATGAGACAGAGACCATTATTATAGATCCTTTGAGCATTAAAATAATAACAAGGGAATTATAAATGACTTTAGGCCAATAAATCCAACAACTTCGATGAAATGGATAAATTCCATGGAAGATACACACTGCCTAAGACTAGTCAAGGAGATATCAACACTATATATTCCTTCATCTACTAAAGAAATCAAATTCATAGTTAAAAATGTTTCCACAAAGACAAAACGCAGGCCCAAATGCTTTCACTGAAGAATGCTACCAAGTCTTTACAAAAGAATTAATACTAATTTCACACAAACTCTTTCAGAATATAGAATAGGACGGAACACTTCCTAACTAGTTTTATGAAGCCAGCATTACTCTGATGCCAATATGAGACAAAGGATTCATGAGATTACTATCCCTCATGAAATCAGACTTAAAATTCTTATAAAATATTAGTAAACAGCAATATATAAAAGGGTCAAATAATTCAAGATCTGTCCGATATTCAAAAATCTAATCTATTTAATTACTCAGCAAACAATGAAAAAACACAATCATCTCAACAGAATAAAAAAAATTTTTGACAAAATTCAACATCTATTCATGATCAAAACACTCAGCAAATGAGTAATGAACAGGAACATCCTCAATTTAACAGTGAAAGTCTAAATGATTTCCTCAAGATCAGAAAGAAAACAAGTTTACTCTCTTTGGTTTGGATGGTACTGTTCACCAATAGTACCAAACACGGTATCAGAAGTCCCAGTGAGAACCATAAAGCAAGAAAATGAAGAAAAGGAATATAAATTAGAAAGACTTCCACACTGCACGTAAGTGGGCCAAAGGAGTATAATTCCCATTACAGAAATGAGCAGCCTCCTACTTAGACTCTGCTTCAGCTCAAGACTTTGAATGTGAAGAGAGTGACACAAAGACAAAGGGGTGCTTAGGATTCATTCATGGGGGCTACAGGGCTGCCAGTGAAAGCAGTCGTGGTGGCAGTGGCCAGTGGCAATGCTGTCTTGCAAGTGGTAAGAACCACTGCCATCGTGGACAAACTAATCCTGACAAAAGACAATGGCTAGACTTCTTGTTCTTGGCTTTCCAGGTTGGCCTTTGTTCCTACCCATAACTTTCTCAGGACGTTCAAGACTCTCACTGTTACTATGAACCCGTCAGCATCCCTCTAATAAATTCCTTTTCCAACCCAGTTGTTTTCTCCTGTTTTGCAACCAAGGATCCAGATGGTTAAAAATTCAGGTCTCACTAATTTTCAAAATGACAACATTATTATCTCTGTATTATCCTCATTCACTAGAATGAAGTTCCTATTGAGGATCTGGGAAACCTGTTGTCAATGCCTTTGAAGTTTAAAGGACATTTTGGAGACTGATTGGTATTTTGAAAATCAAGTGGGACGTGAGTTACACCCAACCCTCTTAAAGAATTAATTATTCTCCCAGGTTCCTAAGGTTCTGTTCTCTACACCCATTTCCTAATACGAACATGTTTGTCTGGTTCTTGGTGTAAGCAAACTAACTCTGGTTTGAAAAGAAATTTTTTGGAAAGATACCAAAAGCTCACAGAAACAGTGAGAGATGTGGAGAACCCGAAAAGAGGATAGAAACAAAAGAATTATGTGCTCAACCTCTAAAGTCTTGATTTCAGGCTAAGACGGAAACTTAGTGACTTCCTATGTATATCAAAAAAGTATTCTGAGTCTATTGCAGCTTCCGGGCTAAGCAAATAAACAAAAATCAAAGGGCAATAAATCACTACATCATTAAATTCAGAGTCTCACTAAGTCTCTTACATGAAAAGTAGGAATACTTATCAGAAAGAGTAAACAAGAGAACCAAACCATATATATTTATCTATATATGTATAGATATATATTATATGATTGATATATATATATATATATATATATATATATATATGAAATACAAGATTAAGAAATACAAGATACAGGAAGATGCAGAAAGGTCCGAGTACCTTGGATGCCTAGTTCCAACTGACCTTTCATTGTCACGAATCCTAAGTGGACTCTGGTAGTATATCCATTCTAAGGGGTGGTCTCTGAAAACAGTGGAGCAGAAACTTCCTCCCTGCAGGTAGAACTTGAAGCAATACATCCATGGTCTACTTTGGCTGAGGAAAGATGGCCTGATGGGCAGTGGCTACAAGTTTAGCCAGATGGATAGGGACCTGAAAGAAGAAAGATTGGAGGACTGGTGACAAAGACATCTGAGGGACAGACATGGAGAAATGGGCCTAGAGTATGGCTATTTGTGTTCCATGAGAATGCTCAGCATAAGACTCAACACTGGGGGCAAGATGATCTACCTTGAGAATGTCAACCAACCCCCTTCCCCAGGCACTGCAGTGTTTGCTCAACAGGCATCAGAACAAAGTACCTGGCAGCAGGAAATGAGCTCCACACATGAGCTTCCTCCCACCAATGACAAACCAGGCCACCACATTTAGAGGATGCCAGTTTTCCAGCAGCAGCAACCAACTCTGAGCCTCCAGTACAGAACCATGGCAGGAAGACCCACCAACCTGGTGAAGGCAGATAAAGTTCACTGAGCTCTTCTCTGGTGGAGAGGGCAGTAATCTTTCTCCATTAAAAGAAACACTAATTCTAGGTTTGGCTTGACTGTCTTCATTTGTTCTACCCACCTTGCTTATATAAGTATCATAATCCATAGATTTATCAAATACTGTTCAAGCTTATTATGTTATCTCATTCAATATTTTGTAGTCAAGAATTTCTGTCTCAACTAAGACCAGACACAGAGAAAAGTAAGTAAATAAATATTTTCTGAAAAAAAACTATTTGCAATTCAAGTCAGCTGAGAGATGATTCAGAAATAAGGCTTCAAGGGTAGCAAGTAATGATGTAAAGAAGATAATCATATATTATGTTGAGACACATGAAATTACCAATATATTTGACCGTGTTTTACCTAGAAAACACAATTTCACATGATTCTCCCCCATAGTATTAAAAACCATGTAAAATAATTAACCATACATATAATCCAACAGCATACACAGACAGTTTTTCGGAGAAGCATAAACAACAAGGCAGATCATATAGCATTTATTAGAGAATATGAAAAGAAATACATTCTGATATGCGGTAAGAGTCTCAGTAACAGTTTCTGTGAAGCCGCCGTAAAACACAGTGGCCATCCTATCCCTACTTGGTGAGGCTGCAGTGGTCAAAACT